CTCCATCGGATCAAGTAAGAAACTTTTGCCTCTCATTTAATTCTTATGACTTCATTGTCATAAGTATCCTTGATTATACCCACCTTGTTTTCAAAGATGACTTTGAATCCCTTCTCAACTAGCTGCCCAACGCTAAGTAAATGCTTATCAATGTCAAGGACATACAAAACATCAGAAATTAATTTAGTACCTGTGCAACTCTCTATGACAACAGTTCCCTTTCCCTTCACAGGAATGCAGTCACTATTACCAATTCTGACGTTGGATACTTGGGACCTGTCCAACTCTCTAAAGAGTTCTTCATCACCGGTCATGTGATTGGTACAACCACTGTCTAGGAGCCAACAATAACTTGAGCTTGAGCTTCTGCTTGTAAAACAAGATGCTATAAACATTTGCTCTTCCTCTTGCTCGCTTACTACTTAGGCATCATCCTTCTGTTGGAATTATTTTTGCATATTCTTTCACGGTGCCCAAGTTTATTGCACTTCCCACACTTCACATCAGGTCTTCTCCAACACTTGAAAGGAGGATGACCCTTTTTGCCGCAATGTTTGCAAGGAGGAAAATCTCTCTTCTTTTCTCCTTTGTTGCTGCTGGTTGCATCACGTGGGTTTTTCTTAGAACTCTTCTTCTTGTCTTTCTCTCCATGATTGATTTGTAACTTAGCCTGCAGTGCACCTTCGATAGAACCTTCACTTCTCATCAGTCTCCTTTGTTCTTGAGCCTGTAAAGCACTGTTTAGTTCTGCCAAGGTGATTGTTGACAGATCTTTGCTACTCTCCATGGAGGATATAGTAGCATCAAATCTTTCAGGAACAGTTACAAGTATTTTCTTAACAATCTTAGAATCAGAAAATTCTGAACCAAACAACCTAATTTTGTTCGTAATACTAAGAAGCTTATCTGTGTACTCCTTGATTGTCTCTGACTCCTTCATTTGCTGCATCTCGAACTCACGAATCAGATTCCACTTTTGTATTCCTTTAAGCTTTTCATCTCCTGCATATTCAGTTTTGAGGAAATTCCAAATATCAAATGCTGATTTCTGATTCATGATTCTTGTAAAGACCTATGCGGAGACAGCTGCGAACAAGGTAGCTTTTGCCTTCGACTTCCTTGATTTCCTTAAATTATGACTCTTCAGCTGAGCCATAGTTGGATTATCTGTTAAGGGAGGAACTTCATAGTCCTCTTTAACAGCATCCCAGAGATCATTTGCCTCTAGGTGGGCTTCCGTTCTAGCTGCCCATTTTGATAATTTTCCCCTTAAACACTGGTGGTGCTAGTGCTGTAAAAGGTGTTTCAGAATCCATTTTATGGATTGAATAAAGGAAGGTGAGGTGTTTATGGTGGGTTTCCCTTGGTTCACTCACAGATCCCTTAAGAAAAAATGCTCCGATACCAATTTGTTGGTTATTTCAGAGAAAAGACACATCTTATTAACTGATGAAACACTGCTTAAATACACAAAAGAAACTGACAAACAAAAGATAGCCACTAACCCACTAACTAGCTAACATCAAGCCATTAAGGCACTAACAAGTAACCAACAATTAAACTCCTAAAGACTTGGTAAATAAAAGCAAATTAAACATGGGAATAAACTGAAAAATAACTGAAGCTACTGATGCAACCTTCAAACAGCCTGTGGCCTAAGAAAGCTACCTAATTCAACGCACTCCATTACAGCCTGAAAAAACAAGCATTACACTCAAGGAAAAACAAAAAATTAAGCAATAAATTCATAAAAAAAGAAATAAGAAGAGTCTGGCCTAGGTTACTTGATTTGATGTTTGGTTGAAAAGAAATTCAGTTACTTGATTTGGTGGAAAAGAAATTAGTGAAATATTGATTTGATGTTTGGTTGAATTGGAATGATAAGGAATAATGAGTAACAATTTTTAACAATTCGTTCTTCTTCTTCCTTCTTGAAGCGGCCGCCGTAATAAGGTTAGTAGTAAAAAAAATGAAAAAAATGAAAAAATAGAAAAGAATCAGTAATTTGAGAAGTCATAATTTTCTATAATTAAAAAAAAAAAGGAAAGGGGAGAGGGGAGGTGGGGGGGGGGGGGGGGAGAATCGCTAATTAATAATTTAAATTAAAATTACATGGCGTTATTTTACTATTAATCTAATGAATATAAGGAAGATTTTGCAAAAAAAAAAAAAAAATAGAAAAGAATCCGTTATTAATAATTTAGATTAAAATTACAGTTTCCTATCCCTAATAAAATTCTACTTATTATATTACAAAATCTCCAAATAATATATTAGATTTGTTTATAATTTCATCTTTAATTTTATTATCTAAACTTAGAATAATAATATCAGTAATTAGAAAAGGAATAATAAACAGTAATACTTATTAAGGAATAATAATCAGTAATATTGTTTTCCTTTTCCATTATCAGTCAATTAGGGATCCTTCTTCGTTTATTTTCTATAATAATCACTACTACTTATTAAGGAATAATAATAATCATTCATTTGGAATAATAATATATAGTATTAATAAAAACAAAATCTCTTTATTATTGCATTCTCGCCCAAACACTTCCGCCCAAACAATAGAAAAGAAATAAAAAACCATGGGGTTGGGGGGAGGTGTTTAATAATTTAGATTAAAATTACAGGGTGTTATTTTACTATTAATCTAATGAATATAAGGAAGATTTTGTGAATAAAATGAAAAGAATCGATTATTAATAATTTAGATTAAAATTACAACACCTATACTTTCCCATCCCTAATACAATTCGACTAATTATATTTGAGAATCTTCAAATAATATATTAGACTTGTTTATAATTTAATATTATCTAAAGGGAAAATGGTGCTTTTTCCCCTATGTTATATACTTATAGTACTTTTTTCCCCTTAGTTATTCAAGTGGTAGTTTTTCCCCCTAATATGTTAAATGGACATATTTACCCTAAAAATAAATATTTCATTTACTTTTCTTCTCCAACAAATTATGACAGTAATTTGGTTCAAACTGAACAGACACTATACCAACCAAATCGAAATGTTTTGATTATAATTTAGAATCGGAACCCGATATTTAGAGTTTATTAAAATTACGAACCGAAACGGGTGGTTCATGTTCCGAACTGAAAAAAAAAATACATTAATTGTTAAATTTAAACTATTTTAAAAATAAAAAATAAAATTTTAAAAGAAAGTTTGAACCAACAGTTCCAACTGGATTTGGAACCATGAACCGGCGGTTCAAAATCAAATCCAAATTGCGGTCATATATACTTATATGTGAGAATCATAATAAATGCGAAAAAGAACATACACTATTTGTAAATTTTGTAATTCTAATTTTAAGATAATGCTAGTAGTTGTTCCGATTTGAACCGGCGGTTCACGGTTCAGGATCCAATTATTTCGGTTCATGATTTTATAAAACTGAAACCCAAATAATGATTTATGGTTCTAAATCATAACCAGAAACTTTTGACTCGATTGCTATAGCGTTCGGTTCAGTTCAAACCAAACCGTGGTCATCCGTACATATAAGCAATAATTTGTTGGAGAAGAAAAATAAATAAAATATTTGTTTTAAGGGTAGAAATGTCCATTTAATATATTAGGGGAGAAAATTGCCACTTTTAGAATAATTAAAGGAGCTAATGTGAGTACATAAATAATTCAGGGGGAAAATGTACTATTAACATATAATCCAGGGGAGAAAGTGCCGTTTTCCTTTATCTAAACTTATTAAGGAATAATAATAATTAGTCAATTAGGGAATTATAATACTTATTAAGGAATAATAATAATCCGTCATTAGAAAATAAATAATAATTTGTAATACATATTAAGGAATAATAATAAGTAATATTTTCATTTTCCATTTTAAGTCAATTAGGGATCTTTCTCTGTTTTCATTTCTATAATAATCAGTAATACTTATTAAGGAATAGTAATAATCAGTCAATTAAGAAATAATAATCTATACTATTATTAAAAAATAAATTCTCCTTTATTGCATTCCCGTCCAAACAATTCCGCCCAAATAATAGAAAAGAAATAATACGTAATACTTATTAAGTAATTTTCGTGTCCTTTTATATAATAATCAGTAATACTTATTAAAGAATAATAATAATAATAAACAGTCAATTAGGGAATAATAGTACTGATTAAGGAATAATATTCATATTCATATTCAATAATAGCTATTACTACCACATTTTAACTTCCTGCCCAAAACAGTCCTATACAAATAAGGTTTGCATAATATTGTAAAATAGTGTATTACGATTCCTAATAGAATATATTGTTTTATACTTTTCTATTCGTACCACAATTCTATATTAAAATTCCTATTCATAATACAATAAAATTATATTAAAATTCCTATTCTTATTCAACAATATTATTCCATCACAACTCTAATTCGTATAAGATAGAATGAGTTTAATATTAAATAGATTGCAAAATATAATATTAAAATAACTAATATATTAAAATTAATGAGTTTAATTAATAAATTAATTACACAGATAATTATTATGTTAATTAAGATAATAATTACTCAAATATTAGTATAATTACAATTTGAATCTTTTATATTTTATATTTTTTTTATTATTTATTCTATAAAAGGAATACATTTACTAACCAAATACAAAGAATTAGTTTCATGCCATGATTGTAATATTAAGAAGTAAATTTAAGCAGAGATCATTGCATCACGCTTAATATAGAATTCGCTTAATACTTAATTAAAAAAAAATCCACTAAAATAAAAATTATAAGTCATATAATAAATATTAACACAAACTTTTTGTGACAGTGTGTAACATTACTTTAAAAGAAAATATATTCTAAGTCATCAATCAAAAATTTATCCAATTTTCCACACATATATCTTACCTATATAAATCATTTCATCTCTGCATAATTGTCAACACACGAACAAGAAGAAAAATAAAAACACAATTCTTGTGTATTTCTACATATTCTCTCATTTCCAAATTCCAACAATGGCTAGAAGAAGATTAAGATTGTCGTATAACGTCATCAATCTAAAAGAAAAGCATTCTACGAGAAAGAGGGGGATGTTCAAGACGCTTGATGAGCTCACCGTCCTTTGCGGTGTAGATGCTGCTATAATAATGTATAACTCTTTTGAGTTAGGGCCAGTTGTATGGCCATCTGTTGAAGAGGCTCAACAGAGAATTGCTAGATTCATGAACTCGCCAGATGTGCAACAAACTAGAAGAGTGATGAGTCAGGAAAGCTTTGTTTTGGGGAGGATTCAAAAGTTGAGCATTAAACTCCTAAAAGTGAAGAAAAACAACAGGGAGAGGGAGATGAATGCATTGATGCATCGAATCTTTACTGGAGAGTAAACAATTGATTTTCTGAGTTTCATACATCTAAACAACTTGGGTTGGGTTTTTACCGGCCACCAATTTTATAGAAATTCATAACAAGGTTGATACAATTATTTGAGATTTCTCAACCTCAGCATTATCATAATTGTCTCAGCCTTGTTATGAATTTCAGTCAAATTGGTGGTTAAAATCGAATCCAAGTTGTTTAGATCTATGAAACTCACATAATCAATTGTTCGCTCTCCAATAAAGATTTGATGCATCAACGCATTCATTTCCTTCTCCCTGTTGTCTTTCTTTACTTTTAAGAGTTTAATGCTCAACTTTTTAATCCTCCCCAAAACAAAGCTTTCCTGGCTCATCATTCTTCGAGTTTGTTGCACATCCGGCAAGTTCATGAACCTAGCAATTCTCTGTTGAACCTCTTCAACAGATGGCCTTACAACTAGCCCTAATTCAAAAGAATTGTATATTATTATAGCAGCATCTACACTACAAAGGACGGTTAGCTCATCAAGCCTGTTGAACATTCCCCTCTTTCATTTTCTGTAGGATGCTTTTCTTTTGGATTCATTGACGATATACGAAAATCTTAATCCACTATCTCAACAACAAGTCAAATTGACGGTAAAGAGAATACAATCTCTACCCAATGTGCGATATACCTCATAAGGTAAGTACCAAATCTATTGAAGCTATAGAGGATTGTTGAGGACGGAGATCCTTGCATCCAGCAGTCCAAAGAGTCCCATGTTTGGAGAACTATGTTGTTGTTGTCTGTCTCACTGACTCACCCACCACTACACCACAGTTGTATTGAATACAACACTTTGCATATATAGTCACCACAGTTGTATAGTCACCACAGTTGTATTCCACCACTACACCACAGTTGTATTGAATACAATCCAAAGATTAACACTTTGCATATATAGTCACCACAGTTGTATGGAATACGATCCAAACAAACATTAACACTTTGCATATAGTGAGTCCCATGTTTGGAGAACTATGTTCCACAATTGTATGGAATACGATCCAAACATTAACACTTTGCATATAGTGAGTCCCATGTTTGGAGAACTATGTTCTTGTTTAGACACCACAGTTGTATGGATCGTTTAGTCACCACAGTTGTATGGAATACGATCCAAAGAACATTATCCGGTGGAATTCAATTTTTTTTTTTTAAAGAACATTATCGGGTTTTATTAATGTGAGTTAATACTTTTTCTTTCTCAACCCATCGAAGAAGAGTCAATACCACCTCCACTAAGGTTCGACCTCATGATCTCACATATAAAAGAGTCACTAAATGCCATTTGAGCACAAGGTAAGTACGCATATTTGTTAGTAATTCTTATCTTTTTTTCTACAACTTCATTTTCAAGTTCTTCTATCTTTATATCTAATCTATTTAAGTTATTTATTACTTTTTTGCGTTTATCATAATAATGATAGTTTTTTCCTTTATTATTTCCAACATTATATATTTAACTCTACGATAATCACCTAATTGATACCAATCACTTTTTCTTGTTTTAATTTATTTTTATTATTAATAATTTTATTCCATTGTTTAGTAAATTTCTTTGAATTATTATTAATTAGTTGAAACCCTAGTAAACTTTGTTGGTCTCAATGAGTAGTGGTTCAAGTCTAGAGAGGAGGGTGAACATATTTGAATTATTTTTAAAATCTTTATCAAAGTAACACAGTGGAAAATAATTGTTACCCCTTTTTAGTTTGTTCACTACTAAGGAGAAAGTTACTCAAGTCACTACGTGTCAGTTTAAGTTTAACCACTAGCATTAAGGTCAGCTATCACATCTCGCTCAGACATTTCTTCCTTCTACACTTGTTTGAATGTGTGAGGGATTGTTAGATATTACATTCAATAAGATGTAAAAGTAGTTTCTCTCATTCCTTGTGTCCCACATCATTGACATCTTATTCTTCCTTCTTCTGTCCAGCCTATAGTAAAGTAGTCGAAGCTATGACATTTTCAATTCTTTTCCTAACAAAAAGAAGAAGTTGCCATGACAGCGTTTATTATATTAAAAAAAAAAAAAAACTGCAATGGCAACATTTATTTATTTATTTTTCATAGAAGAATTCTTTAAAAAAAAAAAAAATAAGCGCTTGATTTCAAGGGTACTAACAGATGCTTCAGAGACACTCGAAGAACAATAACGATCTCGCCTTCTTCACCTACGACGAGAAGTGGAGGCTCGGATATGGAACAGAGAGGGAGCGATTCGAAAAGGATTCTATAAAGCCTTCAATTTAGGGTTGTCCAACTTTAAAAAATTTATTTAATTATTTAAATATATTACATGTCAGCATTTATGATATATTTGGATGCTAAGTCATCTAATTTTAACTCATTATGACAACCTATAAAAAGATCTAATTGTATTTTTTTTCAAAAGTTTAGGTGCCTAATTAGAGCTTTTTGTTGTTGAAGGGGCTAATTGCACTTTCATCAATAGTTCAAGGGTCTATTTAACCCTTATCCCTTAAAAAAAAATAAAAAATAAAAAATAAAGTTTTATTTTAAATTAAAAATTATAAAAAAAAAGTAATTTTTTCTTTAAAAAAGTTAAAATAAAGAATAAAAATAATTGTATACATAAGATCCATGTAAACATATTATGCTACATGTTAGCTTGGTACCATATCAACTGCAACTCATTGAATAGGTAATGATAGGAGACTTAATTGCACTATTTGTTCGGTTTAAGAGACTTCATTGGGACTTTTTTCTGTTAAGCTAAATACTTAATTACACTATTTGGAGTAATGGTTGACTCTGTGTGCTTCATTAGGTTGAGAAAGTATGTTTGAACATATACTACAATGTTATAGAGTCAGTAGCATTCAAAAAAAAAAAAAAAATAGTACCAATTTGACACTTTTTCCTTCCATTATCATTTCACACTAAGGAAGGTTAAGTTAAATGAAGTGTATCATATAGTAGTTTACTCTTTTTGTGTGGTTAGAATTTGTGAAGTTATGCCCTAGCTGTCATCTCCATCATTATATACGTGCTTCTGCATGCTATATTTTGGGCTTCAGCAAACATAAACTTTGAATGAGGATTCGGCCTCTGATAAATTGTGTCAAGCCATATATGTTGGTTCATTGCACATTAACTACTCACTTGAATGCATCCCAGAGATTCCTGTGGAAGAATTGAAGATTTAGAAGCTGAGGAGGTTATGCTCCCTAAAACTTTCCACAGTGTCTTTGAGGGTGATTTCGAGGGGTGTGAAACTAACGCCCAAGGCTTCCGCCCTTTCCCTGGAGACTTGAGGGTGCGACGAATGGCAACTCCTGTTTTCGTCTGAATTCCAAACAACATCATCTTCAAGTTAGAAGAAAACAACTTTCACGACGCTTGATTACTACTCACACTCGACGCATTCTAAATCTATAATGCAACTTACTTGTTAGGAATCGGAAGAGAAGGGAAAAGCTTGTGTACAATGTTGAGAGCCACATGAGAGTACACCACTACCTCAACCAAACAGTATCTCCTGCTAGCCGAAGGATTCTCAAATGCTTTGATATGTGCAAGTGCGACATCTCTAACATCAATGAACCTATATATTCCGTTAGCCATTGCTTCCTTTCCTATAACAGATTATAGTCAATGCTATTGTTAAGATAGAATGTTTGAAAAACATAACCCCTGTTACTTGGAGAAACACTTAGGGCCCGTTTACTAACCCGAGAGTTTCAGAAAATTGGAGAATAGAAAACCAAAAACATGTTTACTAGTATATCTTTCCATTTTGAAAACTGAAAACATTTTCTAGTTTGTTAAAAAACTTGAGAACTTTTTTAAACTGTTTTCTAAATGGGAGAACAGAATCATGTATCATTTATTTGGTTATATATCACTATAATCACATTCTCACCATTATCTACTTACACATTTATTATTACAATGATTACTATACATTCATTATCATATTCTTTTACTTATCACCATCTTCTATCATTTCTTCTTGCATTTACTTGGATGATTCATAATGTGGAAGCAGATCGAAGCAGTAAAAGTAAGGGATACAGGCGATGCTGTGTGGAAAACACATTCACAACCATCAATTGCATGGTCAAAAGATTGCTCTTCAAGTAAGCTAGCTTCAAACAGGTGTAGCCTTTCTTTGGCTCCATCAAGTGCAAGGAAGTGTGCCACCTTATTCGGATTATCTGCCAAATATAATACAGACACGGATTGAGAAATGTAAGAGTTACCAAGTTGAAGTGAAACATGACAATAATGAAGCACACATTAAACAACCCTTAATTGAGCTAGATAGAAGAAGGTAGCCGGCAATTGGAGAACGACGTTTTTTGGAGAAAAGAAAAATGAAACTGGTTACTGTTTGACTCGTCAGAAAATTTATAGTTCTCCCGTTTGATTAATGATTTTTTTTCGAAGGGTGAATGAGGGGCCGTACTTCATTTCTATGTTTTTTCATTTTTTCATTTCTCCAATTTTCCTTCTCCATTTCTCTAGTTTTCTAATTTTCATTTCCTATTCCTCCAATTTTTTATTTCTCTAATTTTCTGATTTCATTAAATACAATCATCCCATATATCATTTGTGCATTTCTACAACAAAGAATTTTTCATTTATCTAATTTTCTAATTTCATTAAATACAACCATCCCATATGTCATTTGTACATTTCTACAACAAAGATAATAAAAATAACAACAACAACAACAACAACAACAACAAATTTGTGTGCATAAGGAGGAAAAAGGAAATAATAATAATAAAAATAATAATTAATAATAAAGATAATAATATTTTTATTGTTATTTTAAATAATATATTTTTATAGTTAATTGCAAAAATTAATTAATTTTATATCTAATTTTATTTATTATTGTTATATTTAGCTTTATTAATATTGTTTTAATTTTGTTGTTGTTTTTGTTAGTAAATTAATTTTATTAATAAGATTTGTCAGCCCAATAGTTTCTTAATCTCACTTTGAT